GTATAAAATCTTTATTGTAGTACCCCTAGTTATATCGATATACCCCTCAAGTGCAGCATACTTACACCCTCGACAATCCTCCTACTTATGACTAACATATTTGTTTTTGCCTTCCCCAGCCCGGGAGCCCCTAGAAGGCCTCTTCCCTTAAAGACCCTCTGGTACCCTCTCATCGCTATTTGTGTTTGTGTTTGCTTTGTGGTTTTGCCATCGCATCCAGACCATGGGAATCTTTTTAATCTTAAGCGCCTTCCATTTGCCACAATTGTCCAGCAGGTCATGGGGCAGCTGCCCTCGCCTGCATCTTGGCTCGAGTCGGCTGTACAAATATGTATATATATATATATATATATATATATGTATATATAGCCGCTTTACCCTTTTGCCGCAGTCCACCTGGCGACTTATAGCCGGCTTATGTGCTCGCAAACCAATTAAAATGGCCAACGGAATTGTAAGTCCCGAGACACGAAGGCAATGCCAGCAAATTAATTTCAAAGGATTACGATCCGGCCTGGAATTTTATTTAGTTGACTTCGCTGGATATTTGGTTGTGGCTGGGTTATCAAGGCCTCCAAAATTACATTTATTAATATATTTGAAGTTTAGGCTGGTTCGGTGTGTACCCAGGGATGTTCTGTCTGTTATTGATCCATTTCTTAGTTGTAATTTGAGCCGCCTGCTTATTTTGTAAAGCGGCAGCCGCTGCATCCAAACGCATTCGGCGATATTTTTCAACACTCTGCTCCGGGTTCATATCAGAAAAAAGAAGTTCATCATCGACGATGCCCTCATCCTCATCAGAGTCCTGAACTTCCTCGAAAACGTCTAGCTGTCTTCCGATTAGGTTTTGCACACGTCGCACAAAAGGCAGTCTATCAATGAAGGGCTTAAACAAATAAAGTAAAAATAAAGTACAAAAACCAAACAGAAAACCTTGCGATAGACTTAGCATTGTGATACGATTTTTCAACAACTTTTTTCGGAGTAATATTATAACAAAAAACTGAATTTTAAGCAGTTGCGAACAGCTTCGATTGTGGCTTTTTCGAAACTGAAACTTTGAGTTGTTAGATCGTTAAAAGAAAAGTGTAAGCCTGCTGTTTTTGAACTTTCTAGCAAATACTAGGAGACATAATGAATAATTTATGAGTGAGAACAATTGGACAACACTAGTTCTTAGTATATTTTTTAGCAAAAAAGATGACAGTGTATTATTTATTGAAGTGTATTTTTTAAATTGAAATCGTTGCAACAAAGTCAAAGGATACCGAAGCGTGCATTGTTCACTTGGGGAAAGGACAGGGACTTTGAGGGACTTGAGGGTTCATGAAGGCTCTTAACCCGCTGCTTGAGGCTGTGGCCAAATCTACACTCAGGGTGGGTGTGTGGGTGTGTGTGAAAAAGTGGCATGAAAATAAATTAAAAATGCGTTATACTCGCACCCACACACAGACAGCCGCACATAAAGCAACTTGGACACTTATCCTGGTGGCCGCATACACAGACATATTAAGAAACGTGACTTGCCTGTCCCGAGACAGCCGCACACACACACTTTCCCGAACATATAAATTTAGCATGTTATGAAAATGTATGCGCTCAGACGGGAGACGGGAGACAGGAGACGGGAGGCGGAGATGGAGACGAGCAAGGAGTCAAGTCGGAGGACTGTCCGACCGGCACGTAGCCGGCCACGCCCAGTCCTCCTCCTCCTCCCTGCTTTTAATGACAAAAGTTATGACGACAAATGACTCGGTTGACTTTCACTACGAAATCAGAGCCGGAGCTGAGACTCGGGTCCACAATGGGACCATGAATCACTTCCCGCTGAGTTGACGCGCTCCCAGAATTCACTTTTGCCATTTGGCCGCCTTGATTTGTAGTCGCTTTTAAGCGCTCTCTTCATTTATCATTATGCAAATTATAAATTAATTTTAACGAATCGCGGATGGGGCACAATGCTGCAGATAATAATGTAAATGCTTTAATGCCTCGCTGATAATTATGCAAGTCTTGCTGCATCGGCGGAAAATTCACGCTCGACCGCAGCCACTGACGCGGCGTGCAAATTGAATTTGTTAATCAACTGCATTTAGACTTAATTGAAACAGCGGATAGAAACGCAAAAAAAAAAGAAACAGTATACACAAATGAGGCAATTTAATATTAAATTTAATGGATTAATGTAAAGACTGTGTGGTGATTATGGAACAGCATATTAAAAGTTGTCAAAATATAGCATTTTAAGGCTTTGTTTCAATTTAAAATAAATATATTTATATATATATATAAATATAGAAATAAATATAGAAATTATGAATAGTGCCTTATTAAATTACAACTTAAATTAAAATTGTCTTAATTGGTTATGTGGGCTTTTATCAAATGAGAATTACATCAATGATTGCTCTCAATAATTGTAAGTTCTTGATTAGTGGTCGCCTTCGGCTGATCTCTATGAAAATGAATTACATTTTCGACCAGAGATTTTGGGAAAATTAAATTTACATCCAATGGATTTCACACAGGTAATTAAATGTAGCCATCTAATATTGAGCTGCAGGCGCAGAAGTCACTTTGCTTTGAAGCTGTCAAGCAAACATAAAACGTACAATTGCATTATAGATGGTCTGGCTGTATAATATTACGCCTTTTGCTGTCCAAATATCAGTCCAAGTCAATCGGAGTCTTGTAACACATCAAATTTGAGCTAATAATTATTATACAAGTGAAAACTGAGACATACACAAACACACACATACAGAGGGGGAAAATGACTTGGGGCAGAAGTTAGTGTCACAAGCTTGTCTCGAATTTATGTTTTCATTTATAGGCAATAACGAACATACATACACCCGCACTAATGCACATACACATTATTTACTGTGCCGTACCGGTGCCTTGGGCGACCATGTGCCACAAAATGCGTTAATTCAATTTTATTACGCATACGCAGTGTGTGTCGGGCACAAAAAGGCATGTGCACTAAGGCTGCTTTTGGAGTGTGCTTTTGAAGTCCAACTGAGTGAGTATGTGTGTGTGTGCTGGCTAACATCTGCATTGCGACAGATTGAAGTGTGTGTTTAGCACGGGTGTGTGTTGTGTGTTGATTTACTTCTTACCTCACTTTCCAGAGCAGCAATTAATTAGTATGTCCTTGTTTACCTATCTAAGCGAAGCTATTGCTTTATCACATTCAGTAGTTATATATATATAAGGAAGCATATTATCTGAATTAATTATGGGAAAGGGGGTATTAATAAATATATTTAATCGTTTTTACAGCATTATGTTATAGGAAAGGCATTATTTTATTGCTCAGTAGTCATGGTTTTTACTTATCAAAGGTTGCTTTGATTAAGTTGAAACTTCAATTGGCATGTCAGCAATATTAGAATTTATACTTTATCAATTTTATACCTCTATCTAACTTTATTTTAACTTGGAAAGGATAGAACTTTTACAGAACTAATTTATCATTTCCCGGGCTATCTGTGCGCACCTAGAAATATTTGTAAAGAAACCACCACCGCCTACGTTTTTCCACCTCTTCGTTTTTTTAATATTTTATGCTCTTTATAGGCGCAATGTGGGTTGCATCTGATGGCGTTGCCACTTTTGCCTTTGTGCAATTGCTTTTTGCGGATATTGTTGTTAGTTTTACTTTTGAGATCCGTGTTGGTTGCGCTCGCTGTTTGTTTGTGCATTGTGCGATGGCGCTTTTGTTTTACACGGCCGGCATTGAGATCCGGGTTTTTGCAGGCTCCTCCGGCTTGCCGTGTCCTATTTGTATCCCGATGGCGGCCACACTCATAGATACACACACACACACACACACACTAACATCAACCTACACTCAGTCGCATTTATGTCTATTGGCGCGCGTCCATTTCCATTTCATTTCCGTTATTGCAAAACTTTTCGTATTAAATATATTTTTCTCTCAACATTTGTTTCATTTCGAAGCCCTTTGCCATTGTTGCTTGTTGTTGCTGCTGCTGCTGCTGGTTTTTGCACTTTGGCAAAGTTGTTTGTTGCTGTTATTTCTGGTACTTTATGCGCCGTGGCCATTATTGCAGTTGTTTCCTTTTATTGTACAAGTACAAGCATAAAAATCGCCGCATTTCCATATAAATATTTTGCGCACTCGACTCGCCTTCGCCTCATTTATTGTGGCCTACTTACGGACGAGTGTGCTTGGGCCAGCGGCGAACAAATTGACATGCAATTAAATGTAAGCCACAAGCATTTATTATAATTGTTTCGGCCTCCCCCCTCTCAGCGTCTCCGCTCCTTCCCAGCTTTCCTGGGGTCCCCTCTGGCCAAATGTTGATGCTGATTAGGCAGCAACAAACTAACATTGTTGCCGTCCTCTGGCAGTTGCAATTAGCATTCTGCGCTGTAATAAATAAAGTAAAATTAACCACAATACACCAAACAAAACGCCCGACCGCATTGTCCCCAATAATTAAATTTGCAAAAAGTCAGCCGGAATGTTGTGATTGACTTTGGATTTTCTAAATATTATTAAAGCAAGGTTTTAGCTCATTTACCATTTATCTATGGGATTAAAATTTAGAACCATGTTTTAAAATATATTAAAATGTTTTTCTTTTACTTTAAGAGCAATATAGTTTCATTTAGTTTTATATTGCTTTATATCCATTAAGCGCAGCTCTGATTTTAAAGATATGTTTTACACAACACTTTCGTTGTATTTTTAATATATGCAAATATTTTTCCGTTTCCCAGTATGTATGGTTGACCCTTTTTTCAATAGCTAGCTTCGGTTTGTGTTTATTTTACAAAATTAAGCGCATCGTTTTCATTTTTTCTGCATATTTTATAGGTCATAGCATTCTCAACGCACCAGTGACCGCAAATTTTTAGCGCTTTTGAATTAATGACACCGAATGTCAGCAAAAAAAATGTTATAACCGCAAATCAGGTTAGTTTTCTCCTTCCTGCAAAAATGCTTTTCATTACAAACAAAATAATGAATGTTTAAACTGCTAATTTCCGTTTTTATTTTTTCGGTTTAACTCAACAGCAAGCAATTGTCATTAAATACTGGCATATATTAATGCCGACCTTTTTGGTGAATCCCTAAGAGAGCACTGCATCGCTGAACCAGAATGACATTCGGTCGCCTTCAGACTGTTTCTGTGGAACGGTGGTAGAGTGGTTGCGAGCCACCGAATTGTAGCGCCGATAGTTTTCATTACCAGAGTTCAAGCGATATGCCAGATCTGCAGCCTGCTCGGTCAAGGGTTTTCCATAGGACAAGGACGTCTCGGACAGCAGAGTGTTGCGTTCTTCCTTCACAGGTTTCTGCGACTTCACTGACACTTTGGAGGTGGCTTCCTTGGTGTCCTCAGCTGGTTTACTCGATTTTACGGTAGTCTGAGACGACTCCGACTCCGATTTATCTGATGTTAAGGATTGCTTAGAGGTAGAGCTCTCCTGGGTGGATGTTTCTGATACATTTGATTTCACAGAGGTGAAGGACATTTTTGCAGGCTCAAAGGGCTTGAGTGACTTTGTGTCAAGTTTGCTTGATATTTTGGAGGCCTTGGCCGCAATTTCGACTTTTGATGATTTGCGCTGCTTGGCAGCCACACTCGAAACCGAGGTGGCTTTTTTGGTTTGGTCAGTTTTCGCTCCGCTTACCAGGCGATTAGCTCTCACCGGCAGCAAAGTTCGAATTGAGGTCTTCGATTCCATCTTCTTAGACTTGGCGGGTTGCTTAATCTTGACCTTTACGTCTGCGTCGATGCGATCTGTTTCATGAATTGCCGCCGCCTGCTTCTTGGCCACGGTCATCTCATCCTTGATGGCCTTCGAAATGGCCACCTCGCCGTGCGTGGACTTTGTCGCCTTGATGGTGCCTTTTGATCCTGACATCAGGTCAGCCTGTTCCTTGGCCGCCTTCACATATTCCGGCTTGGCTAGGAAAACCGGTGGCGGATATGTAACACTGGTGGGAATTTGGAACTCGGGTGGGGCTCCGCTGTTGGCAGGACCCACATTAAAAGGATTAAAAGGCGTTGCGTCGTACTGATCCGGAAACATGTTGTCCTTTTCAAATGTCAATTGCCTGGGGGTCAGCATTTTATGATCTAGTGTATATCTTTGACTTATTCATGGTTACTTACTTGGTTGGGTTATTTTTTTAAATATTTTTTTGGGCCTGAAATAAATATCGTTAAGCCAAAAGGGATTTTTTTAGTTTTTTGTCCGACTTTCACTTTTACAAATTCAAAGGCCAAGTGACATAAGCGTCTAGATGTACTAGTAACTTTATTTTTCTCAATTTAACAAAGAATTTAAGAGAATAAATTTTAATAAATATAGGGTTCCCTAATGAATTCAACTTGCGTTTCTTTGTAAGTTATTATCGCACATCTGGAACTCAATACTTTTTGCACTTGCTTTTGTTCCTGTGATGCCTGTCTGAAGACTGGCTACTTCAAGTTCTGCACTTGCTATTAATTATAAAAATAAATGTAGCTAATTTCGGGAAACTGAAATATGAATACCCTTTCAATTAGACATAGGATTATAGAATAGAATGTGCAATCGATCATAACTACGCCAAAAATCTCAATAATCTCAATTTAGCTTTTCGTGTTGGCTTGTATTAGGGTACCAGCTCATTGGGTTTTATTATTTACAATGTTATAAATTGTATGTATTTGTTACCACTTTTATTCAGTCTATGAATATTATTATTATTAAAAGATTTACAGTTGCGTCATACTCTTTTTTAGTACTTTTTCCTGAAATTATATTTAAACTGCAGTGGCCGCCGGGGCGTATACTTAATCTCTGAAATTACGTATACGCCGAGTGGTATTATATTTCTTTTACCTTTTAAAATAAAATAATAATATGTAAATATATTGAAAGCTTTTCTGAACTAGTTTTTATAGGGCTAACAAATCTACATACTATTTTTTTTTCAATTTAACGACGTTACCCATTATCATTTATTTGGAAAATTGAAAATGTTTATTTTCGACGGGTCATAGCTAGATCGACTTATCTGTTGATTCTGATCAAGAATGTATATGACTTATAGGGTTGGAAAAGACTCCTTCACTTCGTTTCAAACTGCTGGCTAAAATTGTAATACCTTGAAAGGGTATAATAAGCCCTTATTTTTCCGTTGCATCTTCATGTTTCTCTCTCCACGAAAAGGGTACGTGCTGATAAGCCGGAATATCCTTTGACAGTCTCATCCGCAAAACAAAAGCCTTATCTGCCTGCTCTTCAGACCTAGCATGCCATAATTAAATGAGCTCTCAAGGGGTTCCTCTCAAAGGGGCAGAGCATTTGCTGTCAGTGTTATGTTTTAGACAGCAGTTTACTTTTGGGCTAGAGTTTCGATTAACCTTTCGGAATCTGACTGGAAATTTTTAATACAAAATTCAAACAAAGAAAAAAGTGCAGGATGAATAGACCAGGAGACAATCAGCAGCAATTGCAAGGTCAGCAATCGCTTCCAGTGCCGCAGAATGGTCCGGTTATGTATGGCAGTGGGATCGTCTTCGGTGGCAATGTGTATCCCGTGTTGATCGATGGCGTGCCCATCCAGCCTCCAGCGGGAGCTCATCAGGCGGCGGTCCAGCAACGCATGCATATGCAGCCCATGCAGCAGCCTTCGGGCGATCATCAGATGGTGGCGCAACAACGCATCCCGATGCCGCAGGGGCTCCAGGGTCCCCATCCTCACCAGAATATTCCTAAGCCGCTGCCACACCGTCGGGCCTATCAGCAAATTGATGCCCCAACAGGGAGTAGAGGTCCTTCAATGAGCCAGCAGGTGCGACCGTTTAACAACCAACAAATGCAACTGCAACTGCAACAGCCACTGCGACCGCAGCAACAGCTGGCGGGAATGGGCAATGGTTCCTTCAACTTCAACCATCAACCGAGTGCTGGTGGCGACTTTTCCGGAGGATGGGACGGTTATGCCATGTGGCAGCCCATAGACGTTAACAAATCCTACGCGATCGGCTGGAATCCATTCTAAACGCTGTCCATCTCGAAGTAGCTTCAAGCATTAAAGTGTGGAGTCTAGTAAAACAAATCAAGTGAAAAAAGAGCTCCGTTGCTTGGGGATGAATCCCTTTGGGGGCCGGAAAATGCAGCTTGTTCCTTCTGCTTGCCATAATTTTCTCCCACCCATTTGCCCTCCGTTTTCGCACTTCATCGAGCTCTGAGGCTGCTGCCCTCAGTGGGTTGAGCTGCCGCCATTCCGAAGGGTTGGTCTCGTCATTTAGTGGTGAATTTCCGTCTTAGTTGGCAACGAACGTCAGACGTGACATTTTGCAAATTTCGTTTTCAGCATTTTGTAATCGTTCTCGCATACGTGGCCCCACCAAAAGGAGAGGTAGAGGATTCCCCGTGTCGCCACCGAAGCTCCTGATGCGGTCCTGTTGGTGACACTTGCTCAGGTTGAACGAATTGCAGGAGATGCATGTGTGCAAAGTGGGTTTTAAGTGGTTTGGTAGTGGTTTCCGATTTTTCACTGGCTCTGCCACAGCTGATGATGATACCCTTAAGAGTCACAGATGACTTATGCAGATAATTTAAATACCAACTAGCGTTTTTCCGTTTTAAAGAATGTTTAATCAATTATTTCCATTTAACAGTACATACTTGGCTTCCCTTTAAACTAATATCTGTAAAGAAAACATAAAGGTTTGTTAAAATGGCTTTACATTTAATTAAAGTTTCCGAAAGCCATGTAACTTCTATTAATATCAGCTTCGAATCTCTGCAAATTGTGTTAATTAAACCCCTTGAAATGTTCAGTATGTTCGCCTTGTCCGGGGATCAGGTTCCCATCTTTTTCTGTGATTATTAACATAATTTCTATAAATAACTTTCTTTGCGGCGTACCACCAGAGCTAAGCTCTTGACGTCATCGGACTTCTCTTGGAGAAATTGTAAGCCGCCGGTTGCATGTTGGCAAAACACATATATGCTCACATACGTTGCACACAGTATGCTCTCCTCTCCCTCCCCCTCTCTAATGATGATCCCTAAAGTCAACTTGCTAAAGTAACAAGAGCCCCAGCATCCGCACACATTTGCACCCTGAGACAGCGGAGCCATAAGCACACAGTGGTATTAACGCCATAATTCGTAAGTTACACACACACACACTTACACAGAGGCGCCGCAAAAAGGATTAAGCTATATTAAAGTTGTGAGCGCTGCACATAGAGTTCGCCTCCTTGCGGCCTGGCCAAAGGAATCCGCACAGGATCTTCGCCGGCATAAAGAACCCAACCAACCGACCGCCCGACCCGGCCCAAAAAGTCCGAAAAGTGCAATATGCAAATTTCATCTGACCCACATTTATATAATAATAATATTCGGAACGCTGGGCACGCTTTAAATGCAATATATGGCATAAGTTTACGCATTGCTATCAACTCTGGCAGAAAAAAAGGACCCTTGTCCGGTATAAATTTGCCATATTTATACTCTTACTACTTGAAGTGTTATAATTTCAGTTTGAAGGTTGAAACCATGTCCAAGAAAATTATCAAAAAAAAAAAATATTGATAAATATCGATTCAAAGAATGCTAATATATTAAGCTTAATTATGCTACTTAATCATTTCGATCTAATTATGCAATTAATAACTGCAAGGGTATATAAACCTCAGCTATACAAAGTTAGTTTCCTGTTTTGTTTTTATTTATTTGCTCTCAGTTACTGGTATTTTTTTGCAGCAACTTACAGGTCAAGTGTTAATTTTATTCTCAGTTTTCTTTTCTTCGCCATTTTTTATTTCTCTCTTTGCTGTGTAAGTCAACTTTTAAAAGAAGTTTAATTTAAAAATGCATTCATAGTGAATGGGAATGTCTTTTTTTTTTAATCAAAAGCAAAAGTAACAAACTGAGAACTACTTAATAAAAAGCAATAGAATCAGAGGAAATGATATTCAAATGCATTGACTAGTCTTTCTTTTGCCTTTTAGCTTCACTTCATTTATTTAATTGCAGGACAACAGCCCAAAATGTAATGGAATCAGTACAGTTTATAGGTGCATTGCTCCCTTATGTCCCAAGGTCCTGCACTTTCTGTCTGGAATCAATGGTGATTGTCCGTACTTATCGAGTCTGATTAGATTGGATGTTTCGATGCAGAGCTACGAAGACGCATTCCAGCAAATTTAATCCGAAACCTGTCATATAAAATTCACGTTGCCGATGCTTTTTAACACTTTGCCAAAATATGCTTTACGACCCCAGCGTGTCTAATAAAACTTATATGTCTGGGAGCCATAAAAAACCCACGTAGCAGTAGAATTCCATACCAAATGGCATACGAATCTTAGGCCAGACCGTTCAAGGAGCCAACTTGTTGAAGTGTTTATTGTTTAGAATCCCGCGGCGTCGGCAACGAAATACATTAAACATTTTTGTTGTAAATAAAAGATACGCAGTTACGCAGACTTTCAGAGTGCGAAATATAACCTTTTCAGAGCAAATAGGATTGCGGAGATTGCTTGGAAATTGTATACTTGTTTTGAGTAGCAAAGGGTTTCTGGGAAAAAGGCAGCTCCAAAATATTTCAATTAAGCTAGAAGCACCTTGGCAATTAATGTTTTAAAATAAATAAATTTCAAATATTGCTTCCAGGGTTTATTGTATTAAATCACATGAGTAATCCAAGCTGCAGGTGTCAAAAGTTGCCAAATATTACCCATTCACACTTATATTTTGAACCCAAGAATGGAGAAAAATGCTAACCGAGTCCGACAGACAGCTCGCACATCACGGACGTCCCGGCGGATGCGGCAATCCTTGACGAATGAGAAGAACAAGGACACCATCGAGGAGGAATCGGTGGAACAATGGCCAGAAAACAGAGTCATTCAGCAGCGCGTGTTCCTCTATATCCAGCTGAACGAGGTGATTAACCTACCAGACAACGGCTACCCGCTGGAACTGCACCTGTACCATGCCAAGAGTTCGCTGCTGAAGATGCAGGAGCGGTATACCACCAAGACGATTATCTATCAGAAAGAGTTCAATCTTAAGAAGCCCGTCTTCACTTTGGGGGTGATGCAGGATGACATTGAGGAGATGAACACGTTCAGTGATAATCCGTTGCTGATTTCGCTCTACCAGCGTATTCCCAAGCATCGCAAAGGTGACTCGGACAGGACCAAGTTGAGCCAACTGGATATATCGCCCTCGGCTACAGATGCGTCGCAAAGCAGTGGTTCGAAAAAGTCAAAGAAATCTCGCAAGTCAATTACAAAGAGTACCGATAACTCCATATCACTGGAGGAAGAGGGCGAGGAAGGTGAATATGTGGAGGAGCATCTGGAACTGTTGTCCAGGGGCAACTGCGATTTGCTGCAACTCTTCCAGCGTCGTCGCTTCATCAGCGACATCAACATTCTCCTATATCCAATGTACCAGGGACCCGGGCGACAGAGTTCCAAAGAGAGAATCACCTCGACCACCGTTTGGCACATGTACTCCATCTTGCCCATCCTCAAGAATTTTGATTTCACCAACCTAGCCTTCGTGTCCCTGGAGTCGATCTACAATGTGCCCAATGAGCTACACGAACAATCTACTGACCTGGTCATGAGCGTGTCCTTTCGATCGACGCAGCCGGAGGGTGAGAATGGTGACTTCCAGACCATCCCTTTATGCACCTTTACGGCTTTGGATCACAGGTCATCAGCGACCAGAACACAAGTATCGTTTGGGAGAGCCTCAAGCGTGATTTGAACCCCCACGTGAACTTTGGTTTCAACCAAATGGAGACCAGTTCGCGGATCAAGCTGCCTCGCCTGTTCCGGATGCTGCTGTGGGATCAGGATGTCAACTTCTTTATCGACGATATCGATCCTTTGACAGATATGGCGCTCATTAACAACTCCCTGCACCGCTTCGTCATCAACGAGGATATGCGAAAGATCCTTGAGGATTCTGTGGTGAATAACTACTATGAGCTGGTGCTGCAATTGTACAAGGACACACCCGATAATGTCCTGTACGAGGGAGTGATCAATCCAAGTATCTTTGGTTATCCAGGCGGTGAGTGATTGCAGTAGAGAAATATAAATAAATATCAGTAAAGTTTGAAATAATTCAACTAAACTGACTTATCTCTCCCTAGTCAATCATTGTCGATTTGGAACCCGTTTAATACAAGTTAATGTCGATTCTCCTCCGCCATCCGAAGGCTATCGAATGGGTCCAATGTTCTGCACCTTCAAAATCTGTTTCTTTCAGCCGATTTGCGAACGCAACGAACCCCTTGATAAGTTCAACGAGAGTCTACTGAAAAGGAGCAAGCTGCGACGCTGCTTTGACATTCAGCTCCTGAACGATGACGAGTACGGCAGGGATTTGCTCTCGGAGCTATACCGAGAATTCGACAAGCTCATCTCCGACACGATTCAGGTCATCGTGAAGAAGAATGTGCACAGCATCGAGGAGAAGAGTGATTTCTTCTGCTGTCTGCTGAGTAACCTGACCAACCTGCTGATGAAAATATGTGGCTGTGATTTCAACATTCGAATGCCAACGAAAACGAACATTGAGTTTAGGGTGAGTTTAGAATTTATTGTAATTATATATTAATATATATTTTAATACTTTTATTAAGGAAATGCTGACACACATGTACAAGGAGTTGATAGATCGTGTTCGAGAAATCCTCAATACTGCCCGCTTTGAAGGTTTTCCCAGCTCTCAAACAAGCAAGGATCAGAATATGATTCGTTTAATGGACGAAATGCGTCTGTTAGGCAACAGTGGCCAGCGGGATCTGGCCATAAATATGTACGATGAGATCGACAGAAACACCACCAGCAGAGTAAACTTTGACTTTTTAACTCTGCTGAATAGTGTGGAAAACCTGCAGTTCGAGCAGGCGGCGAAGTTTTTCACAAAGCCAAGGAGCACCGATTGGAGAGGGGAATACTTTATGTGAGTGTGATTTAAGAGAGAGAAATAATTTTAAAATATTTCCCTGTCACATTACAGCTTGCTTTTAGAGCTCTATGTGAACTACATGTTAGATTTAAGATCTGAAGACGAGGAAGTTTCGACCACGGCGTATTCAAAAATGCTCGAGAACTTGCGGCAGCTCGCCTCGACGGGAAATCTGGAAGTGGATCCGTGGATTCTGCTCTACTGCTATTACAATGAGGTGAATTACCGGCCAGGAATGGAGTTCACTCGGTGGAAATTCGAGAATCTCTATGAGATTCCCGGACAGAAGCTAGACTTTGTTACCCTCTCTTTCTACAAACTGTACCTGCCGGTGGACTTTGAAATGAAGATCGGCAGCACCGTGATGAAACCAAGTTCTATCCCGTTTTCCATCTATTTGCACGCCTGGGAGCATACGTCTTCGCTGAGGTTGTGTTTGCTAACATCGAACACTGCTTCACGCCATCCGAGGTGTATCTCATCAGACCACTTTAAAGATACTTCAGCGACAGATCGATGATGATTTCAATATACAAACATTGCCCACGGATAAAAGCGAGTATGGAAATATGATGGTGGGTTTACTGTGATTTTATCAAATTAGTATTGATTATAATTCATTATTTTTAAGTGGAGGTATCAACTGCACATCAATGGCAATGCGGAATACTCCCGTGGACGCTGTGACGAAGCCCTAAATACTATGAGGAACTGCTGAACATGACGATCCAGAGGACAGACCTTATTTCACGCTAAGCTTCCTGCGCCTCGGCCATTTGGCATTCGATAGAGGACTCCACGAGTTGGCTATTAGTGCCTTCGAATCTTGTGTTCCAACGGCTAAGAAACAAAAACTTTTCTGCCAAATTATTGCATGGGAATGGCTCTATATCATGTAAGCATTTTTAAATCAATTGTATATACAATTTTGGTAATGTATGATATTTAAAGTTGAATCGTCTGGAAGAAGCCATTCCCTACTTGTCCCGCTGCACTGAGGTTAATATCTTCATACCGGATGTCTGGGGATATTTGGCCACAATAAACCTGCGATTAAATCGAAATAAGACGGCCTTGGAGTGCTGGAAGATGGCAAAAATGGTAAGTACTATTAGACACTCAGAATACCATTTTCATATTTTTTTACTTTGATTGTAGTACCCCGAATTAAGCCTTAGCAACAGAGTCTATGCTGAGCTGGATAAGATCAAGTTCTCGGATGTTCATCTGCTGGTCGATGACGATGGAAATCCCGCTGAAAAGATGGATAAATCCAACATCTTAACTTTGTAAGGAGGCCACACACTAAAGCCTTTCGAATATCTTTATGGGGAAAATGTAATTTGTGCATCGAAAGGTGCAGAGTGTCCTAAGTAAACACATCTGGAGTCACGCGTTTCATCAAGTTTTAGCCGCATTTATAACTAAAAATGTAGAGCCCGTATTTAGTCCCGAATTAAGTGTCCGCATACGCACAGCCTTGTGCGATATGTTAACAAGGCATTTTGGTCCTCAATGTCCTTCGCCTGCCTCGTCGAGCTCTGGCGCTTGTCAGAATTTTAGCCGCAGAGCGTCGGAAGCGGCGGCGGCGGTGGCGTCACAAACGTGAATATGCCAACACAATGCATTTTGGCCAAGGGCAAACCGCCACACCAAATGCAAAAACAAAACCGACAGCAGCAACAGCAACACCAACACCAAAAGCAACAACGACAAAACAGAAACAAGTGAGATACGTAGTTAAACCCTTTTGGCCAACACTCAACCCATGACAGGTGTTTGCTCTGCAGACCATTTCGGGGCATAGGGAATATCGGGAATGGTTTGTGAATGCTTTTGCCATTTTAAGCCTTAATATTATAGAGCTTCTTGAGATTCTGAAAATGTTGCTTGTTTATTTTTCTAATTTTAAATTTCGAACCGAGAACTTGAACTTAACTAGTTATTTCTGACCCTTAAAGCTTAAAGATATTATTAGGCCATTCTCTCGCCAAACTTAACTCTGATTAAATATTAAAGAATTTAACCAACTTAATATCACAAATATTTAAAAATTTCAAACATTTAAACTATTGCGAACTATCTGACTTTAACTTTAGTATCTCTGATATCGATATTGGCGTGTAATAGTATTTCAATCCGATTCTTTAAAGAGCATTTATTATTCGTTATCCTGGCCCAGAAGGCTGTGTTCTGCTTGTTTTTGTTTACCTGGCAGCGAGTGCTCTAAAATCCGCTTTGACAGCTCGCCTGTCAGCTCAACTCAAACCGAGCCGAGAGGGCGTTGGTTGGGTCTGCCATCGGGATGCCTGCTCTGGGAGTACGGCCAAGGATGTGGGGCAAAGGGGATGCTGTACACTTTTTTTTTTGCTTGTCTTGTTCGGGGCAGACCTCAACTACATATGCTAATGACGAGGCAGCCGGGTGGGGATCGGAGGCGGTGGAGCAGCCACTCAGCTGGGGCTTTTGAGCTAGTTTAAGGCCAACAACTCTCGGCTACTGGGCACACACCAAAACACACAAACTCACTGGAAGACACACACACATTGGCTTCATCAAAATGAAATTTGTGAGCAAACACATAAAGTGAGTCAAGTAAGCAAGCCAGGTAGCTGTGGGACACATGCTGCTAATGTTTTAAGACGGCTTTAAAATGCGTTTTAGTCGATGCCACACAGTGCTTCAACCATATAACGCATACGCCGTGTGGGTCCCGTGTCCCGTGTCCCGTGTCCCGGCGAAAGGAAGCTCTTGGCGCCCCGGCGCAACAATATCAATTAGACAAATGCATTTACATACTCCGATTGCAGATGGCATTCGCAATACCTCCACTCCCCGCCGAAACAACAATTGCAATTTAATGTGCTGCCTGCGCTCGGTAATGATAATGTTGTTATGTGCCTATTATGGCTGTTGTTTGTGGGCTCTGCGGCGTCTGCTTCTGGGGTCTACGAGGTCTGAGAGGGCCTGATTTGCGCCTGGCTGCGAACACATGTCATTAGCATTTGCATTATGCGAATTTTGCTGTCTGACAGCACTCAAAGTGATGCAGTTAGGCGGCTGAACCCAGGGAGGAGAACATCCGCCCGAAAATGAAACCAAATGAAATTAAAGCTGGACGCCAATTCCAAATAGAAATGATAGCAATACTTCTGGCTCTGTGACTCTGAATGATTACTTATTGTAACGTGAAATGTTTTAAATGATAGAAAGAGAATACTCACTTTTTTCTGCTTTACAAGAACCAATCCTATTAACAGTTTAAAGGGCAGCCCACCTTGTTTCCATATACCCTTTACTCGCTCCAAATATTAATCCATATGAATTTCATATGCCCAAATTCCAAAACAAGGCCGAATGCCAAACTTGGCCCAACCTTGGCCAAACGAAAGGATCCACAGAGTGGCTCGGCAACCTTAAGCAATTTCTGATCAAAATATGCGATGGACAGGCTAATATGCAAATACCACCTAAGCAGCTCAGACGCAAAGCAGCTCAAGTTAATACCGAAATAGCTCAGCCACCGCACATATCTCCAGCTCCGGCTAATAACACAGCCACTGCGAAAAAGTACAACAATAAAAATGTAGATGGGATAGTATGGGGATGGGGATGGGGATGGGGATGTGGATTGGGAGTGTAGTACTCGGCGCCAAACTACAACAGCTGCCTATGCCGCGGGAAAGTATGCAAAAGATTTCGCCTGGAATTAAGTTGGCAAAGAGCTAACGTGAAATTTACACCAGAATGGCCATGGATTTCCAGGGACGAGTGCTGTGAGGTGGAGGAAATGTTTGCTCGGGTGTGACATGAAAATTTCATTTGAAATTGAATATGAAAAAAGCGACGCTCGTGTGCGCCGCCTGTGCGACAGCTGCTGCAATTGACAATTATTATTATTGTCAGTGCGAATGAAAGGCAGTCGCCGTACCATGGTCGGGGGATTCTTTTTTTTGGGATTGGTTGGTATTCATACTCGCATGACACCCGTGTAGCTCATAACCAAGCCTCGAAAATGCCTCGACATCCGTTGGCTTCAATAAAATTCAATGGTCGCATTAAAATCATTTAAATTCTATTGTTTTGTTTGCTTTTTTCTTGGGTCTTTTTTTCGGATTGTCATGTATTTTCTTTACGACACACACCCACAAAGGAGTGGAGTGGCACACACACGACCGACGCCGCATAAGCTGTTTTCGCTGCGGATTTAGGCGATATCAGCAAATGCATATTTAATGGCCCTGCGATCAATACGATATGCGTGCCATACACCTCGCGATTCACGCTTCCGATTAATGCAATTTAAGTGTTAAAACGGGCTTTTATTCAAGGCTTTAAGGGGGCTTAAAGCATAGAACAGATATATAATATTTGGGTGTCTTTTTAGCTCAGTAAAATCAATTACTTTAAATTCAATAGACATGGAATTTAAATACCGTATCACTTTTTGTCCTTCGCAGAAGCTTAAAGTTGCTTTGGTTCTTGCTGTTTTTTACCTTCAAATATACACTTTTTGTATGACATATATCACAAGTTTCACCTCCTTTCCCCAACAACTCTTAATCGAATTCAAAAACCCAAAATGAAATCGTTGGCGTCACTTTAAAATCATAACAGCCACAGCGGAGTGGCACCTTCTGCCAGCTGTCTGTTTCTCTTCTCCTGTATCCTGGCTCCCCTTTCGCTGTGTGATGTTTGCAAATTCTCAACTTGCGTAAAAATCGCGCGAATGAAACGCGTTGAATGTACACAGCACGCATTTGCGAAGCTGAGAAGGGGGTAAAGGACTTTTGGCTTTGGCAAGGATCTGTCTTGTTTGCATAATGCCAGGCAGACGACTCCCCGCATCCATAACTCACACACAAGAACGCACTTACTTGCCATATTGTTGAAGCGAAGAATAAGTCAGCGGTTTTCATTTTACAATTTGATAGCCGAACAGAATTTTCTGCTGACAGCAGACGGAGCTGGCGAATCGCTTGCGAAAGCTATGGCAAAAGGATTTCCACTCTTTTCCCGTTGATTTGTTTGTTGATTTGCGTAAGTAGCGTTTTGGGAGGGCGTGGCCTGGTCCTAAATCCCTTTTGTAAGGGCTTTATGGGTAAGTTGTTTTTCACATTTGTCGCATTTATAAATTATTTAAAGTGGCAAAGCGCCAGCTAGCTCAGCTTGGCTTGATGAATGTGTGCGCTGACCATCATTGACCCCGTGACCCCAAAAGCAGTGGCATATATGTATGCAAACACTGGCCACTCGAGCACAAACTACTTTTGAAAAATACCCTTACACTGGAGAAAAAATGTCACTGATTATATTTTAATATATAAAAAAGATTGAAGTATTAGTACTAAAGGTTGGAAAATTGCGCATACGCCATGTAAGCCATCTTGAAATTCCATTTTTCTTATTTATTTACAGTAATCTAATTCTGAAAAATACTTTATTCTTGAGGATAAATGTCATTTTAAAGTTAAATAAAAAAGTACGATTGAAGGTAATAGAGTTAAGGTTTGAATATTGCTCATACGCCATGTAAGCCATCTTGAAATTCCACTATTCTTATTTCGATTAAGTTATCCAATTTAGAAATACCTTATATCTGAGCATTAATCTCACTTTAAAGTTAAATAAGAAATTACGATTAGCGGTAAAAGTATTAAGGTTTTAATATTACGCATACGCCATATGGGCCATATTAAATTTTCTTTATGTTAACTTTGACTTGTTAATCCAATTCCTGCCTCTGTCTATATGATTTAATAACTTACAACTATAACTTATATATTTTTTTAAACTCTAAGTGGTGCTTTTTCCTAGTGTACACACACGCAGATGGACCAGTGACATGAGCGACCATAAACAGTGGCTAAACAAGGTGCTTAAATTATGCCACAAGATCTGAAAAGCGACTGTAAATAACAAGCCGGACCAGGCTTCTCCGCTCGTCCACATCCTGCCGCCCTCTGCCCCCTCCCCTTCCAGAGGCATGCATTCATATTTATGGTTGTCTATCTGAGGGGCCTGCTCCTCCTCTCGCCCCTTGGCCACCCAGCTGACAAGGCCACAGGCTGTAGTGTGTGCCCTTGCCGCACTCCAAGCTGATCCTGCATCTGCTGGCCTGCTGCTAGCAGTTGTTGTTGGCCTCATGGCTGGATGACTTTGGTTTTGAGAAATCAACGCGTACATATGTGCAATGTATGTAGGTGCCTGTGTGCCAAGTGTGTGTGTGTGTGGTATTGTGGGTGTGTGCGCTATTTGCGTGAGTGTTTGTGTTTGCTCAGCGCTACTCAGCTGCTTGCTGTTTGCACGCACGTATATGAATATCAGCGGCCAGCGTTTACT